GACTCGAGAATACTTTTCGATTTATTTTTTTAGTAGGTTATGCATTAACCTTGAGTTATCTCAATAAGTCATACATAAAGGATTAGGTAGGTAACTCTTTACTAATTGTATCCAAAGCAATTCGTAGTCTCATTAGCATGATAACTTTTTGTCATATCGCATCTTATGTAAATATCAATATTTGCCAATAAGTTTATTAGACCTTAAGTTATATCAATAAACTTAACAACTCATTTCAAGTTAGACCCAACTTTCAAAAACATCGCATGGCCCATGATTTATTTCCTTCAAGGAAGAAGTGACATTGAGTTATCTCAACAAGACAACAACGATTAAGAAAGCTCTCTTCTCGTAATGTTAGAAGGTAATTAACTTGATATTTAATTCGAAGGATTTAATATGGTAAGTCTCATCCTAACATGCATACTAGTCAATAATCACATTAGTCCTATCATGCATACTAACATTCAATCACATAACATAAACACATATATCTCATGCATGACACAAAGATCGATAAATGATAATAAATCTCTAATACTAGCTTCTTTGAGCCATAAGGAGACTAGTGGGTCAAATACTTAGGTAAAAAATTATTACAAATTCTTCGAGATTATCTTCACTTCTTGGCTTCTTCTCCTTGTATCTATTCTAGTTTCTATCTTCTACTTTTATATTTATTTAAATAAGAAATCTCAAGTTACATTCGAGGGGATAAGATGAGAAGAGAAATACAATAGAATAATAAAGAAGGCGAGGACATGCGGACTCTATTTATCTAAAAAATTACAAACATTCATTCTCATAAAATAGGTCGACCCATTCATACCATTCACCTATGCTTCAATCACATTGATGCGTGACATACTAATGAAATATATTTCATTTAAATCATAATTATAAATCTATATTTTGGTCATTTTATAAAATTATCAAAATTTATCTAAATTTCAATTTTAAAATTTTTTGAGCCTTTGGTCAATGGGCTTTTAGTTCTTGAAGACCCACGAATTCCATGCTCAAGCCTCCGGCCTAGTGTGTTTTTGCATGCCTAGCCTTGTATTGGCCTAAAAAAATGCTGTGATCATAGTAGGAGTACACCAATAAAGCATAGTTGGTTTACTCTAAAAGCAAAGACATTTAGGAATTGAAGAACACTTATGTGATCATAATCGAACAAACTAATAACTAAGTTTGAGATTGTACTATGATAAATTGACATGAGGATTGAATTATATGATAACCATGCTTATAAAAGGTAATTGTGAAGTAATTAATCCTCATAGAGAATTGGATGGTCATGACGTCTTGCTAGAGGTCAATCTTGATTTATATATCGAAAGATAAAAGAGGCATCTTTTACTCTTGATACATTGCCAACATATCTAGGAGTCTATTGAGTCACACGTATAAGTTTAAGCATTCAAATGATTAAAAAAACAAAAGCAAAGATTTTAAAAAAGGTTTTCAATTTTGAAAGTTTTCTATTTTAAATTTTTTTTCCTAAAATGAAAAGTTTCTGTTTTAAAAATCAGTTTTCTAATTTAAAAGTTAGTTTCAAATTTAAAAGTAAGTTACCTAAAAGGAAAATTAGTTTCCTAATTTAAGGTTAAGGATAATCTGGAAAATTATTTTCTAATATGAACCTCCTAAAAATATCTAACCTAATTTATTTAGATAGTTCAAATTAATTGGTAATTCATTGGGAAAAAATAGTTTGGGCCAATAAGTTTAATTTAAAAGGCTAAAAGATATTTTGGTGGGAGAATAAATATAAACTTTATTGGATAAAGATCAAGGTTTAAAATGATAGGATAAAAAAACCCACATATATTATAACGCTTAATCCTTGAAGGATTATGAAGCAACAACCAAAAATTCTTTTTGGGACTTAATGCCACCACTTCCTTATCCTTGGAGGACATGGAAGACACTCACCCTTATAAATAAGTGATCGGTGCAACAAAGAGAGTAATTGAGCTAGGGCATACGCGACAAAAAGAAAAATAAAGAGAAAATAATTTTCTCCCTCCCATACACACGCCACCTCTTTCGCTCCCTCTTGGGGTTGTCGTAAAATATCGCTAAATAGATTTCTAAAGATAAAATAATAAATAATTTATAAAAAGGTGGAGCTAGCATTCTATTACTTTCGAGTGCTTGAACTACGTGGGTGCTTGAACTACATAGATTATTGATAGAGGCTGAAAACTTAGACGAGCACTTTTTTTACGAAGGTTAAATTCTAAGCTACAAAAGGTAACTTTTAACTTATGCTTTAATTTAGGTATGTATAATTAGTTGATTTAACGAGTTTGATCTTGACGACCTTAAATGGAGAAAAAAATTTCATTTATTCCACACCTTCATAGGATGCATGATCCTTCATCATTTGCATGTGAAAATAAAAATCCGATTTTACTATATTATGTTTCTATGCTTATTTGAGTATATTTATTTTATTAGGGATAGAATGATAGAGTAATTCAAGATCCGGATCGATCCAATGCCGATACCCATACTCGAAGGGTAAAGGTGCGGAAAATTAAAATTTTGGTTAATCTTAGCGAACTCCACTTGTACCAATAAGTAGGTGAGTTTTTAAAGATTGATAACTTTTTATTAATATGAGCGAGTGAGTTATCAATAATCACACTCACACAAATGAAAAGCCATCGATAACTTCGAGTCCGGATTTAAGAAGTTATCGACAACTTCATCACATAAATAGAAAGGCACTAATAACTTCATTTTACTCGAGCAAGGAGCGGATAATCGATTTGAAAGCCACCAATGACTTTATCACATAAATAAGAAGTCATCGATGGTTTCATTTTAGAGAAGCAAACATCAAGCAAAATAATTTCAAAATCGTCGGCGACTTCGTCACATAAGTGGAAGCCATCGATAACTTCGTTTTAATAATTAAAAATTAAATAAAATTGGTTTGGGAGCCACTAACGACTCTATCCACACAAGTAGGAAGCCATTGATAGCTTCATTTTGGCAAACGAGACAGGCATATAAATTGATTAGAAGTCGTGGACAACTTTGATCACATAAGTAAGAAGCTGATCGACGGCGTCGTTTCGACGAAACGAGCAACATGCAAAGATCTCAAGCATAGTCATACGAGTATTTCACGAGCATAATCATTCATAACACAATATTTACATAATTAATTTATCATTTTAAACGAGTTCAAGTAAGTTCAAAAGTAACCAAAATGTCCCGAAAATGTTACGATTTCCTCTCCCGAATCAATTTTAATTCTTTCAATCCCGATAAGATCGATTATTTCAATCAACTAAGAAGAAGAAAGAAACTATTTATTGGTGTTGAAAAGATTGTTATACAATGATTGAAATGCCCGTAGTTAGTTGTAAAATAATCAAAATACTCCCGCACATAAAAATTATAAAAATACCGTTAGTGCATGCATTATATGCGTTGTCATTAACTAGCCATCATCGAGTCGCTTGCTCGGCCAAATCTAGGCATGTGGAAGGACTTGTACGATGGAGGGAACTGCTATTGACTTGTTTGTGGTGGTGAAAGTCGTTGTTGATGTCGGATGAGGGAGATCGACGGCTTCAAAGTTTCATTCAATTCCTTTTCTCTTCACGACAAAGATTTCGATGATATTAGGGGGTTTTAAGGGCATCAATCGACTCGCTGAGGCTATGAAAAATGTTTTGTAATGGTTCGAATGTTCAATTTGACCTTGATCGGTTGATTTTATTAAATTGCAAAAAACAATTCACGATCGTTTTGGCCTTTTTTCGTGACTTTTGGCCTTGAATTTAAAAGGGAATCACTCATAGGAGGAGGATGACTAGTTCCGTGGTGGTGGAAGTTGATGATTTGATCAAAATTGGGAGATATTTACAAGTTGTTAAACCGATTATATCGTCGATCTCCTATTCTCAATTCGGCTAGATCCGGCATTTCCTCCTTCTCCAATTGTTCGGGAATGATTGATCTAGATGTGGGCTATTAATTGGAGGTGGTGGTTGGAGGTAATATTGGCTAGAATCGGATTCTTCAATTTTAAGCCTCCCAAAGCCAAAATCTATTCCTTTTTTGTCTAAAAATACTTCAAAATCATAGAAATAATGTAAATAAATATGTTTAAAATCTCAAAACTCATTTTAATTCATGCAAAAATTCAAATAAAAATAAAAAAAGTCAAAAATTTTTTCTAGATCTCAATCTACCTTTTCCGATAATATCATTACTTGCTACTACCATAAACGGATTTTACTCTTCGAGACGAACAAAATGGTGGCAAGCTCAACTATCGAGGTGGTCGAAATCGACACGGCCATCCCTCTCTCTTCTCCCTTCTCTCTCACTCGTTTCTCTCTCCTCTTAGCATGTAGGGCCTAAAATGAACGAAAAAGAACTTACAGATCGAAAAAACAATATTAAAAAATAAACGATCAAAGTGCATATATTTAAACAAATATTCTAAGTGCACAATGAACACTAAATGAATAGTAAAATGTGTGTGAACCATATGTACACAGTGTTTTTAAGGTTTTTTTTCATGTATATTAATAACATTGCCATATGGGATCCTTAAACAGCCACTGGAGGTTCAGAGCTCAAAATCTATCTGTTGAATCTATTTCTATATTATTTCTAACTATTCATTTTCACATAGGAAACTCTAATGTTCCTGAGCAGCCCATGTTTTACGCTTTCGTTGCAATTACGCTTTGGCCCAAAGCAAAGTAAAGCCAGAAGTCTGCATTTTATATGAAGAAAAACCGTTCAATCTAATTGAAAGCATGCTTACCGAGCAGCCCATATTTTTAAGCTTTCAATGCAGTTACGCTTTGGCCCAAAGCAAACTAAAGCCAGAAGTCTGGATTTCATATGAAGCAAAAGTGTTCCACCTGACTGATATAACAGTCGAAGAGTTGATTATGGGTAAAATGAACACTGTTACACCAATGTCTTATTAAAAAAAAAAAAAACACAATCACAATTTACAATTAAAGCACCATGGAACCGCTGAGAACTCCATCCAACAAAATTTCTCGTGAAGTACCAGAGGTAGGATATCCAGCTTTCGGGTCATTGTCATTGTTTTTCTTGTCGAAGCAGTACACAGGAGCTTGCCATTTTGCATCCTCAAGGGCAGCTCCCACTTCAAAAGTCATGACATGAGCTTCCCTCCCTGTATACATCTTACATTCATAAGAAAACCAATACAATTTGCAACACCACTTTGAAATTCCTTTGACATGTCAATTAATTTCACTAAAAATAAATACACAATACCATAAACGAAAGACAAATGCCAATTAATGACCCACCAACAATGAGAAACCTTTACATTGATCTGGCTTATGCGAAACTAAACTAATAACATTATAAAGATTCATTGCAATAACTTAGATACTACAGTACTGACAGATATAAAATGGTACTGTCAACTGTGGCAGTTCTTCCTAGTTCCTACACAGAGTAAAGTGAATGTCTTGACCAAATGGGGAAACAAACATACCAGTGTAAAAGACCCAATGAACAGGCCTTTTGGTGACAACATCTTCATAGTACCAAATGAAATCCACTTTCTCCCAAACATTACAAAGAAAGCCATCCACGTGGCGTTGGCCCAGATAATTAGCTCCATCAAGCCAATTAGGGCGAAGAATTCCAACCTCCAGATGCGCGGAGGAACACTGCTTGTTGGAATCTAAAGTGTAAAAGAAAGAAGTACCATTGTTCCATTCGAGGTCATACAGAAGCTTACCTAGTTGGTGTTGTATGATGTTGAAGTTTCTACCATTAGTCCAATCGTACCATAGATCTATCTTTTGAAGGATTCCACTGTAATTCATGAAGAGAATTGCGTGGAATTGGTGAGGCCATGGTGCTGGAGTTGGGTCTCCTGCTGTGGATGATTTAATTGATGGTGAAAAGATGAAGATGAGGAGAAAGGAGATAGAGATAGGGATGGGCTTGATTAGGGAGGCCATTGTTGGTGGTTGGAGAGAGCAACGCGTGGTGGGCATGGGTTTAATTTATATTTGTTTCATTTTGCATTTCTTTTTTATGCAATGATTCTAGGAAACGAGTAATAAATTTCCATTTTTGTGAGAGGAATATAGTTAAAAAGTTTCGTGTTAAAATTTGAGAGAGATATTATTACTAAAATTGTACTGTTAAAAGTTTTTTCAATTTTGTAAATTTAAGAAGCATGAATCTCCAAAATAGTTCATTTACATAAAAAAAAATAATAATAATTGAAAACAAAATAATAATATTATAACAAAAATTATCTCTGTTTTATTAAATTTGATAATTTCAAATTTTTATTATTAATTTACGTAATTTAAATATCAAAATATCAGTTTTTGAGCAAATGTTATTCAAATCTTAATTTTTTTATTATTTGTAATGATCAGTTGACCTTCACGTAGAATGTTTAATAACATTATTTAAGTATTTCGTTGTTTTTTTTTAATTTGTTTTTGGTTTTTTTTATAAGACATTGGGGAAAACATCAAATTTACTTCAAACATATGATCCTATTATCAATTGAATATCAAACATTTTAATTGTCTCAAATTTATTCTAAATGTTTTTGTTGCGAGACAAAATTATACCAAATTACATTCTTCATTTGTGGTAGTTAATAGATTCGTTAAGTTTGTACCCAATTTTGCAAGTGCTCACTATCTCTTTTCATTTAGCCTTGAAAATAAAGCTCTAATTTGATCGAAAATATAATTTTAGCATTAAAATTAACCTTAGGCATAATGAAACAACTTGAAGAAAAGAAGGTGATGGTAATGTTAATTTTAAATTATCATTATTATTATTTTATACAAAAAGTTGGATATCTGTGGGATCTTTCGAGTCTCCACACGCAGTCCACTACTTTCGTACGAGACAACATCAGAGTGATAGAAACGTTAACTGTGCGATCCAAGTTTTTTGAACACGAACTTCTAAAATTATAGAGAGAGAGCACTAATGAGAACTAACTGAACCTAAATAATTTAGGTGGAAGGTTATTGTGTTGTCCAAATTATAGGATAATTTATTTGTAATTTTAAATTAAAAAAAATTTTCACGCCTGAATGGAAGGAGATAATAGGCATGTTCAAAATTGACGTATATATTAATTATTAGAAACAAAGAATGCAAGTTTGCGTAATTTTGTCTCACAAAAAAATGTTTGGGATAAAATTTATGCACTCGATAAGTTTGGATGGAGCGTTCGAGATAAAATTGATAAAATCAAAAGGTTTAAGATTCAATCAATAATAACATCATTTGTTTGGGGCAAATTTGAATTTCCCCTGGAAATTGTATTCAAAAATTTCACTGACCACACTGTTCTATGTTCCTGGTTATTAACAATCTTATTAAGTAGGAAAATTAATCTTCAAATATAAAGTCTGTCGCCGTAAATAGTGTACATTTGGGGAACTATTCTGCAAGAACGTTGGGTTGCCATCCAAAACTGATAAATAAAATAACAAGAAATGTAGTTTATAGCTGAAAAATAACTGTAAAAATGTCATCCTAAGTGAGATTATAGAGTTCATGGGTTTCCTGTAAGACAACTACAGACTACATGACGTCCCTCAGTTTCTGTGTTAGCTTGCTATAGAAATTCAAAAAGGCCAATAAAAGCGCCCATGCATCCAGGGCATATAAGCCACCCAAATGAAATGAAGTCAGGGGAAAGAAAGAGCAAAGCAAATTTGAACCTTAACAACTCACTTGAAAATTGCAGAAACATATTGTACAGTATGTATTTCTCTAAATATACTTCATCCCCGAAATATATTGCTGTCTAGAAATGATGGTCTGGGCTATGGTATAAATAATTCCTAAGCATCCCAGTATCCTGATCTTAATAACATCTGATATCAGAATGGATGGCAGATTAAGCGGTAGCGTGATCAGTGGTGATGAGTCCGTCTGCTTTGTGTAACTCCAAACAAACCGGTTGAAGAGTATATGGCTGGGGAACGTAAGAATGAGGATGGCTAAATTCTTGACAGCAAAAAACCAATCAGGACCACCAATTTCAAGGCTCCAACCAACATTACCATGCCATGTATCTTCCCATATGCTGTATAGGGCTGTCAAGACCAAGTAGGCTGATATAGCCACTGTAACAGGAAAATACCTTTGCTTGTCTCCAAAACCAGCAACAAAATCCGAGTCCTGGTTGAGAAGCAGTAGTATAGGAGCCAGGAAGAAGATTGCCTGGTTTGATCCCCCAGTCAGATTGACATTCAAGATCAGGCATATAGCGAAGCACATTATAGTAGCAACATTACCAACCGCAGGCATCCAAGCTCCCTCGGCAGCCATTCTCTTGATTGTAAAGGCTGGCACAGTAGAGGCACGTCGTTGCTGCATGAACCTCATTCGTGGAGCAAAATTTGAAGTACCTTGACCAGATTGACTATGTCTAATTCCACCCCTTTCAAAAGCCTTTTCCCGCATAAGTGAGGCAAGTTCAAACTTAATCTCCAGTGCTATGAGCATGAAGATTGCTGCATATAAACCAAGAAGAGATGTCCTTGCCCCCTCAACAGCCAGTAGAGTAGTGAGCTTCCTGTCTTCCTCTGCCAGGTCTCCAACTTCATCTTCATGGATGCTTTTGATTCTCACCTGACCCTCCAACAGATATGTCACGGGAAAGAGGGCAACTAGTAAAGCAAATACCCATGGTAGTAGCTTTGTGCTTGAAGCAGATGGAAAATGGGTGAAGACCACAAACACAGAAGTGCAGACCATGGTTACAACAATGAGGGCATGCAGAACTGCAGCTTGAAGAAAATACTCAGCAGATATGTATACTCCAAGAGCAATCCCTATTGCAATGGAGTAAAATGTTCTTAGCTCTACCACGTACTTAATGGGTATGATAGATGTCACCGCTGCTAAAGTGAGCAGAATTGCCACAATAAGCAACCATGATGGCCAGGTCGGTTTTGATGCTATAAAGCCATAGATGGAAATGTCATCTGAAGATTGACGAGCTGATCTGATTATGTCCGATCGATAAGTCCATGCTAGCGGGATTGGTGGCTGCATCAAGATAAACAGTAAACCTGTTGCCACCACCAGTACTAGACATCTCTTAGCAGACTGCAGAAAGCAGACACGAGTCAATCAGTAATCAGAAAAACTGGCTGTCGGTTCAGTTCAAATATTAAACTCCTGGAGAGCTTTAAATAAAATCCTAACATTTTATCGACAGGATAAAGGCCATAATGCACATTAAAAAAGTCCTCAGAATAGCAAAGGTGTATAGTTCTTAGAATAATTACCTTCACATTCAAGTGAATTAGGCTTAAATAGCATAGGAAAAGCTTTCAATTAGAGATGGTTAAGCTAATTAATTCATCCAATTCTTACTATTTTACTCCACAGAATGATCAGGTTGAAATTGAACTCGAATGGACAAACATAAATCCTCTTCTTTCATCAATCCAGTAAATTTTTAAGCCAGACTTTCTAGGAACTATAGTGATAAATGTATCATTTACTTACAAATTCAAATTATTTACAAAATTTTGCAGTAATTTATAAGCTTTCTTGTCAAAAGAACAATCAAAATTCTATAAATTGCTTGATTTCAGTGAGCTCATCAAACATAAAGGAAATTTCTAGTAAAGGAGGGGGAAATGTATATATCTGATCAAATATGTTGGTTGATTAATAGGTTAATTGGTTTAATTATTTTTTGATTTACAGAAAGAAAATAAAGAAAGAGCAAATTCATGCAAAGTAATAATAATAATAATAAAGAGATATCAAGAGAAAACAGACCAGAACATGAGAGAAGTGCAGAGCAACAATGGGTACACAAGCCAATCCGGTTAAGGCAATGCAGAAACCCAAAAGCAAACCATCAGATGGAGCCCTCCCATTCCACCACTGAAGGGCTTCGAAAATTGTTTCGCGGAAGAACCAGACTGAAAGAGCAACCACACCAGCATGTACATAACCTTGCCACGGTTTCATCTTTGAGCCTGTTCGTGATTTCTCCCTGCAAAGTCAAACATGCAAAGAAAACGAATGCCTAAATTGAAGTAACCAGAGAGGAATTTAGAAGTCTTAAAATAGGAGAATATGTCAATACACACTTGTAAAGAAGCAATGGGGGAGTAACAGCGAGTAAAAGTGCAGCTGAAACCCATACAACAGGCTTTGATGAAATAAACAGCATAGACAACTTTGAAGAATGCAGGCAAGTCAAAATCCAAACTGCCTTTGGTCCAATCCGATGATCCACAGATAGTCTTCTTACCAGAGCCAAACCCACAAGGGTTGTCAGAATAACCATATAGCTTGGATACATCACATCCTCCTCCATTCCATAGTAGTAAAAGCCCGGGTAATTGAAGAAACGATTCTCAATATGACACAACAGCAATGCATGGCTGATCAAACCAATCTCAGCTAAAAAATGAAGTTTTGGTGGTAGAAGAGCTAAACCTGGAATAGCCATGGCGAGAACAACATTTGCGACTATAAGTTTACAGAATGACTTCAGGGACATGCCTGCCAACCAAATATTTAGATCCCAGAAATTGTGCAACACAAACCATGTAACCATCAGGCTCCCGAGCACAACAAAGGCAAAATAAGATGGCAGACTTTTCTTAGTAACAAACCGAGCAAAATAAAATCCAGCAACTGCAGGCAGGGGAAGAAACTGCAAAATAAGGGGTAAACGGGATTAAATATTTTTTGAACATGTAAATTTCTTTTAATTTTTTTCCCCTTCAATATCTGTTAAACATAGCAGTGAAGACAGAACAACTTGAATGCAAGAAGTATAAATTATAAAAGAGAGGATCCCATACAATTAAGCAAGAGATAAAGTGACTGTAGTGTAAGAGCATGCACTTCCAAAATTGAGAACTGACTTGTTGTTATTTCGAAGAAAAAAAAAAAAAAAGCAAGGAGGTGATGGCCACCATGCACCAATTGTGGACAGAATAGAAACTTAATAGCAACTCCAATTACAATAATGTGCAACAAAAAGCTCAGGTATAATGCTCGCAAATTGTAAATGCTCAATTACTAGGTTAGTTATTATTGACCTACATACTCTTTAATTTAAAAATATGTCAACACTGACTAAATGTGCTGTAAAACTGAGAACCACTGACGCATACATATGTAGATCCTACATCTTGTATTAACCTGCAATTAATAGATTTTAAAACATGTAATATCAGACATGCTTTTATTTTGAAAGTAAAGCAACATTAATTCCAATAGAGACATCAATTAGTTCTGAAAATACATTGCACTGGAAAATGAAATAAAAGGATAAGCACACAACAATAGTAACAAAAAAAAACAAATAGCCCACAACCAGCTTTTCAACAGCTCTCACTAAAGCTGTACATGCCATTGTGGTCCAAGTCTGCAAACACAAGTTCAGGGAGTGGATTGCAATGCTTTGGCCAATCAAATGGTTTGGTCCCATATTCTGCATTGTAGTCCTCGACCACAATGCTAAAGCAAACACAAAGAATACACACGCTGTATTTACTACCTCATAATTACAAACAAACTGGAATGGGGCTAAAGTCTTAGAAAAATCAAGATGCATACCAGTAGAGGAAAACCCACAACAATTGCTCCAGCAGAACTGACGATTACAGCTAAAGCAGTAAAAGCCACTGAACTAAAAGCATCAGAAATCATTCCAAGAGCAGTAGCACCAGCACCAGCAGCTCCTCCAAGCATCGTCAGAGTCACAAGAAGATAATTCAATGGAGGAGGAATCTGAATATACCTTCCAAAGGAATGGAAAACAACTCTAACCTCCAAACAAATCACAATAACAACCAATGCAACAGCACCATTCACCACACGAATGCTATGCAACTGATTCGCTTTCTTGGTCACCCACCAAAGCGCACCCCTCGTGGATGAATACAGTTGAAACAGAAACGGGATAAAAAACAACAGCAACAAATCACAAACAGACGCAGCAGACGAGAAAATCACCGAGTAATGCGAGGCAACATGAAATACCAACGGAAAGAACAGCAAATTCAACGTATGAAAACAACCCTCTAGTGGACTGAGAATAAAATTATCATCAGGAACCTCTCCACCATGATATTTCAATTCTTGTTTCGATTTAAATGAAGAAACACGCGGAATTGCAAACATCCAATAGAAAACACAATTAAAAATCATCAGATAATACGCAGCATTTTGCATACCGACAGCAGAGATTGTAGCCCAAGTGAAAATCGAAGAAGCAGCAAAAGGAACACACGCGAATAACAACCGTTCAAGCGCGAGCACGATAGTAGGGTTTTCTAATTGGATCCATTTGAACTGAAGCGAAGCCCAAGCGCCGATTAAGAAGTTCGTTTGTGCACAGAGGAACGCAGCGAGCAAACCAAGAGGAATCGAATTGAAAGTGAAGATCAATGAGGAGCTAAAAAAGAAAGCGATCTGAGCTGCAATTAGAGAAGCCCAAACACCAAAAAACGCACCGGATTTGAAATTGAGTGAGTCAAGGATGTAAGCGATCATTAACCCCAGGGTTAGGGTTGCGACGACGGGAGCGCCACCGAGGTCAAGGAGGAAAGCGGCGCATGGAACGAGAGCGAGGGCAACGCGGGTGTTGTGAGCAAAAGAAGAAGCAGAGAAACGAGATCTAGAAGAGGAGGTCGAATGGGAAGAGAAGTGAGAGTTAGGGTTAGGGTTTTGGTTAGGAGAGTAAGCAGAGGAGGTGGGGAAGGAGGAGGAGGAGGACGAGGAGGGGGAGGAGAAGGAAGGGGAGGAGATGGAGGAGGCGATGTAAGGGCGGAATGACCGCGTTTGGAGCTCCGGCGGAATCATTTTATCCGTCGCCGGTATAGTGAAATGAGAGAGTGTAGTAGCGGGGATGACGGAGTGGAAAGAGGAGAGGGTCTGAGAGAGAGGAATCACGGGTGGGTTTGGGTTTTGGGAAATGAGTGACGTGTTTGGAGGAGTAACAGCCGTTGGATCATGGATTTAGCGGGCCCTATCTCTATTACAGAGCGCAGACTTTCATTGTTTGTGCGAGAGAAGAATTGGATTGGGAGGTACACTCCCACTTTATATTAACCAAAATTCGTATAAGGACTGGACAAGGTTACGAAATTTTAGATGCTGCATTTTTTTTTTTTTTGGGCCTTTTGGCCCCTCATGTTACATTAAAAATAAAAATAAATTAGAGTTCTGAATTTTCCTTGTCGCTCTGGGCTAAATACCCAACAACGGGGAGTTCAAAGATTGAATTTCTATATGAGCAGCAACCTCGGCCTCTTGAAGCCCTAACGGCACCTTTGATAATGCAAAATTGCAAACCCAGGTAGGCAGGCCTTGGAGGTTCAACTGGAGGCCCAACCTCAAACAACTCCAACTGCAAAGCCCAAGCGTTTTTCAAAATCGTTCCCAATTAACTTCAGATAATCAGTGCCAACAGTCAAGTGAAGTGTGGACATGGCGTAAGAACGACAAGCTAAGTAAACTGCTGGTTTTTTTTTTTGGTTCATTTTTTATTCTATCATTATTCAATATGCTGTAACTTGCACATTTCTGTTTTATCATTATTCAATATACTGTAAGTTGCACATTTCTGTAGGCAACTTGCATAACATCCATACCATACCTGAAAATTAGGAACGAGAGATTTGAGCGCAATTTTAGTACAAATCTCAACTCGGGCATATACTCATTTATCAGAGTAGAGTTTGCAGCTTTGCCTCGTAAAATTAAATAGTTGAGCTCAAATTTGTACAAGTACTTGTGCTAAAAAGTCCAAGGAGTTGAACTCAAATAATTGATCAAAATTCTTATCGAGTGCAAATGCGAGCTCAGTAGTGAAATCCAACTTGAGAGAGTCAAGTTTAACTTCAACTTTCAGGTACCATAATAATAATTACTTAGAAGGGTACTCTTGACCACAACCTTTTATCGAGATATGTTTGCGGCTCTGGTGGCAACTTATCATATTCAGATGCCTTCCACATAAACTTTATCCATTGAGACGTCGGGCGGCGCAGCCACAACAATCCCAAATTTAAACGTGGTTTTAGTCTAGTTTGCGCAATAATGGAAGCCTGGTTAACACCAACAGAGTCTCCATGTAACGCCCTCACTGTCCCGACCCATACATGACGGTATCACAAATGAAAAAAGCTTCGCACAATACATAACTCAACTCAAATATAAATAAAAATTCTAACATATAAAAATAATCTCACTTAAATAAAATCCAAATATAAGAACTCAAATCCTAACATTTCCAAAAATAAGAATTATAACTTAATATATTTAATATAAAACCTCAAACTTTTAAACATGTGTCATAACTAAACACATTTGCTAAACTATAATACTATATACATATTAGAATTTAGAACATAATATTATAAATCAATTGTTCAACTAGCAAAAGATCACAAAACTAAATATATAACAGCTTTTTAAATCACCACTTAAACTTGACAACCAACTAGCCAAAAAAGAGAATTCTTTCACAAGAATATGCTCAAGACACACCAACTGTATATTCAAAGTCTAAAAACGCTTCGTGAGCCAAAATCTTCTCACCTACACTATATGATAAAACGTGAGTTAACGTCCAATAATCATGGTCATGCATAACATTAATAAACTTTTATGATGTACGTGAATATATTTTTCGTTGATGTTTGTACTCTACAAGACATTATGTCCAATCCTCTTTTCCTTTACCAAAACTATACCGTTACCAAACCTTACTTTTATCATTTGCTTTTATCAAAACCTTTGCCTTTACCATTTATTTTTATCAAAACTTTTGCCCTTCATGCATAATGTTGACGGGGCACTACGGAGCGATGCGAGAAAGGAGTCGCCACCTAGTTAATCGAAAGAATTATAAAATCCTAAACAAATCGGTATGCATAGATATTTGGATAAAGGATCGATTATATATGAAAAAATATAACATCACCGTCATCTCATTTTACATGAGGTAGGCGACATTGAATGTATGCAAAAATAAAATTTTGATTTCATTATATTGTATTTATTTGAGTAAATTTATTTTATTGAAATAGAATGGTAGAGTAATTTTGGATCCAGTGCCGTTCAAATACTAATACCCATACTCAAAAGGGGAAAGGTGGGTAGGGATTGGAATTTGGGTTAATCTTTAACGAACACAAACCTATATCAATTGATAGGTGAGTTTCAAAAGGTTGATAGATTGTATTGACATAAACAGAAAGTCACCGATAACTTTGCTCACACAAGTGAAAAGCCACCACTAACTTCGGATCATAAGTTTATGAAGCCACCAATGACTTCATCACATAAGTGGGAAGCTACCGTTTATAACACCCCGAGCCTAAAGGGAGGTCAAGAATGTTACCCATAAAGCTTCACACTCGTAGTGCAATTAATGTAAGACACTAAACCCTATGTTTTTTTTATCTCATGTAATGCATAGCGGAATATAAACAAATCTTTTCATTAACCTCATAACCAAAATGTAGCATGAGTTTTCAATTTAGCCCTTAAACTTTAAACTCGTCCTTATAGTACAAATGTTGGCAAACTCGACTCACTTTCAACAACATCATCAACATCACACATGTCCTCACGCTTCATTAGCTTCCTTACACACCACAAGACAACTCGTGTGTTAATGTTCAATAAGTGTAATCATGTATGAATGTAAAAAATACATTTTCTATGAAATTGAATTATATTTTTTGTGATTCTAGCGCACCTCGTCGAATGTGTATATATTTAACCCACAATAAAAACCATCATTTATAAAACAAAAACTATAAAACACTAGACATATTCAATCCTTTTAAAAAAAAAAAAAGAGTACATGCTAGATCATTTTCTTTATTAGTCATATTTGAACATACCAAGAGTATACACCAAATTATTCCGTTGACATGCCTTTTTTGAAAACATGAGCATGAACTTGTCTTGAATGCCAGCGTGCCCTCTTTGAACATGTGTAGCTATTAGCTTGACAAAGAATATACACAAGATCATTTCCTTTGCAAGCTTTTAAATATATATATGCCATTGACTTTCTCTTTGTATGCATGAAAACATGATAAAAACATTTTCACGATGTGAATGCATTCTAAATGCAAACCTTATGTAAACACATGAACATCATAATCAACAAATAACATAAATCTAACCTCAAGTAACATATGAATACAAACCAAGTAACACATAAATACATAAACATAACCAAATGACATCAAGTAATCACATGAACCCAAAGACATCAAGTAACTTCATAAGTATTCAATTATCAATTAAACATATGAACAAAAGTAAACACATAAACACACAATCATCCTATAACCTATATGTCACATAAACACATCAAACCTATGACACCTATGTCTTATGATGAGTTGAGACTATACTTACCGATCCTTAAATAACCATATCATCACTTAAAGTACAACCATCAAGTAAGACATCAACACTTCAAGTACAATTATCAAGTAAACACACAATCACAAGTATTCAATAATCAAGTAAACATATGAGCATTAAGTAATCCTATGACTTCTATGTCTTATGGTGAGGTGGGATTACACTTCTAATTATCAAATTAACACATAAACACATGAATATCAAGTAAGCATATAAACACATAACCACATTAATTCATAAACACATCAACTTATGACATCTATGTCATATGATGTAATGAGACTACACTTACCTTAGGGTTTAGCTATCCTTGAAAACACCCTAAAAGCTCTCAAGGATTTCCTCATTTCTTTCTTCTTTTCCTCTCGACCAAAGTCTCTCCCTCTTTTTTTTTTCTCTCGACCAACTCTTTCTTTCTCTCTTTCTTGGCCAAACTTGATTTCTCATCCTCTCATCCAATTTGGTTTTCTTTGAGAGTTCTAGTTTTCTCTCTTGTTTCTCCATGTGAAAGGCCTAACTACTCTCTCTTTTTATAGCCTTTTTTTCGACTCGGGAAGCTTCACTGAAATAGATTTATCACTTGTACTAAGTAAAGCAAACTTATACTTAGATATTAAGTACTTAAGTATTAAGTAGTTTTTAAATTTTTTTCTATATTAAGGTTTTATATAATTAAATATTAAATACTTAAGGATTAAGTATTTTCTAGACTAAACCCCATCAAGGAACAATCCCAATATGCAAGTATGGTATAAATATTTAAACATCATCCAAAACTAACATGATTACCGATACACTCATGGATATTAAACTAAAGAACATCAAGTTGTTCTTTAGTCGAATTTATCAATAATCCTCACATATATGCAATGATCCATTAACTTTATGAATTCAATATCTTAAGGACTTCCATATCTTGTTATAGGTTAATTATGCTTTTTAATCATCATTTAACCTTATGATCCATTATCAATTCAACACAACATAACAATTTGATCAATCACTAACCAAACTCACAATCACACCATCACACATAATCAATTATTAATTAAGCACACAAACACAATAATTTCTACAACTCTTATCTTATGATGTAGTTAAGATTAATTACACTTACTTGGAGTCTAGCTAGTGTTAAAAATACCCAAAGAGCTCATAAATCTTCATTCCTTCTCCCTTGTAAAGTTTCAACCAACACCCATGTTTAAAGGTACTTGATTATTGGATGACTGAATATTGGTATTATGATTGGATGAATTTAACTAAGACTACTTGAAGTGATTTGGTTGTATTTCCATGAGTTTAATAAATGATTGTGTACTTATTATGTTACTTGGTGCCTTTGGTATGTCATTGCTCAATGTTAGATAGAAAAATGATTATGTGTTTAATTGGTAAGAACACTTGATGAATTCGGGTTACATATTTGATTAAAGTTAAATGGGAATATGTTATATCACTTAATTGCATCAACACCACAAAAATGTTTTCATCGTATCTTATGCATTCAAAGAGAAAGAAAAATGCATGGTTTTTAAAAAAGGATCATGGCTAAACATGTTTAATCATGGCACACAAAGAATAAATTAACTCTTTATGGGTTTCACAAGCTCCACAGGAGACATGTCTAGTGTTTTTATGAGTTTTCACATACATGATTTTCATAGAGGGTCGAATACATATACATTCACTAAGATTCTCTTGAATCACAAAAAATATATTTCAACATTATGAAAATGTTTTTTCTTACAGTATGCATGATTATACTTACCGACCTTTAGCTTACTAGTTATCTTATGATGTAGGTGAACCAAGTAATATACAATGATTTGATGTAAAGTTGAAGATGATGTCATGAGGAGCCAAGCTTATCGAATATGTACTATAATTATAAGTTATAGGTTTAAACATTTCCTATCTTCCACATCTTTATACTATTTGTAAACTTATACTCGTTTACCATCTTTCAAATGTTAATAAATAAATGGTTTTGGATGTCTACAATCAAGTTATAAATGGTTTCAATGGCCAAATGTTTTATGAATATTGAATGAGTTTTCATCTAAATAATAATTCAATTTAAAATATTAATAAGAATGATTATGTGTTTAATTGGTAGGAACACTTGATGAATTTGGGTTACATATTTGATTAAAGTTAACTGTGCATATGTTATATCACTTATTTACATCAATGCCACGACAACATTTTCATCATATCTTATACATTCAAAGAGAAATACAAGTGCATGGTTTTCAATAAAGGATCATGGCTAGACATGTTTAATCATGACATATAAAGAGAATAATAAACTCTTTATGGGTGTTACGAGTTTCACAAAAGACATGTCTAATGTTTTTATGAGTTTTCATATATATGATTTTCATATAGGGTCGAATACATATACATTCGGTAGGATTCTCCCAAATCACAAAAAATATATTTCAACATTATGAAAATGTTTTTCCATGCATCATGCATGATTATACTTACCGAGCTTTAGCTTACTAGTTATCTCATGATGTAGGTGAACCAAGTAATGTATGATGATTTGATGTAAAGTTAAAAATGATGTCGTGAGGAGCCAAGCTTGCCGAATGTGTACTATAATTATAAGTTTAAAGTTACAAGTTTAAACATTTCTTATCTTCCACATCTTTAGACTATTTGTAAACTTATACTACTTGTCATCTTTTGGATGTTAATAAATGAATGGTTTTGGATGTTTATAATCAAGTTATATGTTATGGTAGGTTTAACAAATGGTTATCTAAAATGACTTAATAAAATGGTTTGGTACATCTAAAAAGAATTAGTAAAATGTTTTCAATGGCTAAATGTTTTATCAATATTGAATGATTTTTCATCTAAATAGTAATTCAGTTTTAAAGTATTAATAATTGAAATGGTTTAAAATTGTTTGTGTTTCATGGAACTTAAACATGAAAACGGCTTTCAATGAGCTTAACCTATATTTTGTTTTAGTCTTTAAACCAAATAGTTTTGTATAGCATTTTGTATTTTAAATATAAAAGAGAGGACATGAGGCTTATTATTTTACATTTATTACACTTCGAATATGAGGCATTATTGGTAGCATTCTTGATCTCGGTTAGGTGAGGGGTATTACACTCGCTAACTTCGTATCATGTAAGAACAAATCATTTAAAAAAGTTTGGAATCCACTGGCGGCTTCGTCCGCACAAATGGGAAGTCACTAGTGCTTTTATTTTTTTAAAAAAAGGAAAACCACTAACGATTTTTAAGCACATCATTTGAGAAGCCATCGATAACTTTATCCACACAAGTAGAAAGCTACCGATAGCTTCATTCATAACATTTAAAAAGTCACTAACTACTTCAAATCTCATCATTGAGGAAGTCATCAATGACTTCATCCACACAAGTAAAAAGTCATTGATGGCTTCATTCATAACATTTAAGAAGCCACTAACGACTTTAAATCACATCATTTAGGAAGTCATCGATAACTTTATCTATAAAAGTGAGAAGCCACCGATAACTTCACTTAAAGTATTTAGGAAGCCACTAATGACTTCAACTTGCATCATTTAAAAAGCCAAAGATGACTTCATCCACACAAGTGGAAAGCTATTGATGACTTCATCCACATAAGTGGGAACAACAAATCATTTAAAAATGTTTGGAAGCCATTAGCGACTTCATCCACATAAGTGGAAAATCACCAATGGCTTTATTTTTTTAAAAAAAAGAGGAAACCACTAACAATTTCAAAGCACACCATTTAAGAAGCCATCAAAATGTATCCATACAAGTGGGAAGCTAATGATGGCTTCATTCATAACATTTAAAAAGTCATTGATAACTTTAAATCGCATCATTTAGGTAGCCATTGATAACTTCATCCACACAAGTGAGAAGTCACGAAGCCATCGATGGCTTTGTTTACAACATTTAGGAAGCTAATAATGACTTCAAATCATATCATTTGGAAAACCAATGATGACTTCATCCACATAAGTGGAAACTATCGATAACTTCATATACAATATTTAGAAAGTCACTAATGACTCAAACTTACAACATTGAAGAAGCCATCAAAGACTTCATCCATACAAGTGGGAAGCCATCGATAACTTCTCTTATAACATTTAAAGAGTCAACGATGACTTCAAATCACACAAATTAAGAAGTCACCAATGACTTCATCCATACAAATGAAAAACCTCCGACAACTTCATCCATAATATTAAAAAAGTCACTAATGACTTTAACTCACTTCATTTAGGAAGTCACCAAATATTTTGTTCACACTAGTGAAAAACCTCCGACAACCTCTCCCTCGACATTTAAGAAGTCACTAATGACTTCAAATCGCATCATTTGTAAAGCCATCGACGATTTTATTCACATAAGTGAAAAATCACCGATAACTTCACTCATAACATTTAAGAAGTCACTATTGACTTCAACTCATATCATTTAGAAAGCCATCAATAACTTCGTCCACACTAGTGGGAAGCCATCGAGTCCACATTAGTGGGAAACCATCGACGAGTTTCATTCATAATACATAAAAAAGGTAAAGCTGGTTTAAAGGCCACTGCGCGATTCGATCATATAGGTGGGAAGCCCACGATAGCTTCATTTCACTTAAACAAAAAGCATATAAACTAGTTTACAAACCACTCGATAGCTTTATTTGAATTGAATAGAAATCAAGTAAAACGATATGGAAGTGATGTCGGCTTCATTTACATAGATGGAAAGCCATAAATAACTTCCTTTCAAGCATATAAAAAATTAGGTAATCATACATTGGACATGAATATCACATATTCAATACATCACATTCAAGGTTTTTAATTAATTACAATCAAGGTAATTTTATACTAAAAAATAAAATAGTTTAATTAATAATATCAAATGGGTATAAATTCTTGAATTTTACCTAAAATAAGTCAAAAGATACTCAAACCATTAAAAAACTTTGTTTGGGGTTAGTTTTGCTCTCTTCCTCCTCGATGCAAATTGATTGTTCGGTTAGCAAAAAGAAGAGTAGTCGTCCATTATCAAGATCGTTGGTATTGGTCCTATTAGAGTGGCTTATAATTGAAGCAATTGAAGATGTTGTTATAAAATGAAAAAAAAATGCCTCTTGGTCGGAGGTGAGATGACCAAAATACCCTTATATATGAAAGTTACCAAAATGCCTTAGCACGTGTACTACGGATGTCGCCATCGTCCAAGCATCCTTAGTGGTTGCTCCAGCCACCTTCGGGTGTATGATCGGCCAATAGGTCGGAGGAGGTCTCGCTCTATTTGTCTATGATGGTAGAAGTAATCGTTGTTGATGGATGAGAGATAGGTGGCATGTTAATTTCTATCTTCTTTTTCTTTATCTTTGATAGAAATTCGACCACGTCTATTCGATGGGGATGACACCAATCTACTTAATAGACTAAATAGGAGTACTTCTCTAGTGGTTTGAAAGTCTAATTTGGTTAAAATTGGCTGAATGAAACGAGTCGATGAGCGAGTTTACCTTCGATTCATTTATTTTAATGAGTAGATCATCAAGAAATTAAGGGGAATTGGTCTTTGAGAAGGTGGGGGTGTTTATTTGGTGGTGACGGTTGTCAATTTGGCGAAAAATGGGATATATATCCGGGTTTTAAAATGAGTCAAGTGGTTTATCTTCTTTCTTATTTCTTAACCACCTCTAGCATCTTTCTCCTCTATAATTCATCAAGAATGGTTGATCTATGGATGGACTACCAATTGGTGGTGATAGCTAGAAGCAATATTAGCTAGAGGGTGGTCGTTTTAAAAGAAAAACTTTGACGAGTCTAGCCACGAATAAACGAGTTTTTTAGGTCTTTCCTCTCCACTTAAAGGTTGTTTGGCTTTTTTTTAGGGGATGCATGACCAACCTCTAAATGGTTGAAGAGGTTAGATATTCATAGAGGGAAATTAGGGTTTTAGGTAAACAATTTTGGTTTTTAGTATCTCTAGATTTTTAATTTCGGTGTTGATTTGCTAGGTTTCTTCCTCGATGGTACCATTCTCTTCTTTCAATTAAAATCTTGCATCTTAATTCTTTCAATTACACCATCAATTGGGTTTTCTTTGAATGTGATACATATTTAAAAAAATATCTTTGATAATGTGTTTAACACAAGTAATAAACATGTAAGATAATACTAAAGACAATGCCAACTCTAGAGAAGACTTAAAAAAAAAATTTGGATGCCAAAATTAGCAAGAGATGAAACCTCATGAAAATATTCTAAAGTAAGTTTTATATTTTGATATATTATTTGTAATATTTATTAACCGAATGATTTTTTATTTGTTGTTCTATAGTTTTTTTCCATTTAGTAAATGCGCTATCCGAATCATCAAAATTTTCAAAGAGTGTTTGGACTCTTTTGACTCGACATAAAAGTTAATCTCGAAGGAGATAAAAGATTTCTACTTAAATGAGTTTAAAATAATATTTTATTTATTTGTTTATATTATAGTTAAAATAGTAACATGAAACATACTACTATTAATTTTTTTCTTCTTTATAACGAGCATTGTTTATGAGATGAAGTTCATCAACTTGATGGTTAAGATGAAATAAGAACATTTAGCACGCAAACGGTATGCCGACATGCCGATCGGCTATAAGAAAAAGATCAACAAACCCTAGTATATCCTAACATTGGTGTGGGATGCTTGGCAACGAGGATTGGAACATACTTAGAGTTTCAAGTACGTTCGAATAGGCGGCACGAAACCTCGAGAACGAGACGAGTTGTGTTGGTGCTAGGCCATTTAAACATACGAGGGGCTTCATCTCACAAATTGAGCACTCCAACAAATGGTAAATTTTATTATACCTTGTGTTAAAAATTAATATTTGATTATTTATTGCATCTCATATTGTCTTTTTTTCAAGCTAAGGAGTTAGATCGTTATCTAAATCCTTACGAGTTGTTCGTGAGGACTTGCAAATGCCGGGATAGGTCGTTAGTGGATTTACAATCCCGGACGGTGGTGATAAGTTTAATTATACATATGCAAATTAATCAAAAAATTATATTTATAATTTAATATTATTTTTTTTATTGCGTAAGAGCATGTGAACTAATTGCATGAGTAAGTTACTAGCCAGCGAGTCGAAGGGTGCTTCATCATCTATAGGTATCAATATGTTACGGATATATCTCGAGGTCGTAGAAAGGGAGAAGAAGTATAGAATGTATAGCCTCGGAACATAAGCGTTCATGTTTTACTCTTGTTCTACCACCGACTCACCCTCTGCCACATCACGATTCCCTAGTCATATGCGACGGAGTTAATGATCGGGTTGAACGTAAGGTCGTAGGATATAGAGCATAACTATGTTCGGTGGATCGAAGAGGTGGAGAACAAATACAAAGAGGATAACCAACGTATGAAGCGACGAAATGGAGAGGATATAGTTGATTTTAGAGGAAACACTCGAAGTCGCATCCCTCCTTCTAACCCTTCCCCTCCCCTATCCTAGAATCGCTTTTTCTTTCGATACCCGAGCATCCGAGAGATGAAGCGAGTAAATGATCTTGATAAGGACAAGTTTTCTTTTAAATTCTTTTCTTAATGTGTTCGTATACCGAATTGTATTGTTTTATATATATATATATATGACATTTGATTTTATATTATTTAATAATATTTCATGTTATGGTTTTAATTTTAATTGTTGGTTAATATGATCGAATATTTAAAAACCTATTAACGATTAAAAAAACTTAATTTAGCAACGGATTAGTGGCATCCCAACAATAAGAAAAATTAATTATTAGCAAGGAAAATTAGCAATGAAAACTTACTTTTAGTCTTAGATATCAACGACAAATAGTATTGAAATTAGTGATGGATTTATGTCCTTATATAGCGACGAAATTCAAACCATTCGTATGAATGTTTACAATGAAATATCGACAAAAATACATCAAAATAGAGGCAAAATATTTATCGCTTGTCGGTGACGGACTAGTTAATCCGTTGCTAACAAACTTAGTGACAAGCATTTTATGGACAGCTTTATTTTCATCTTTGTTCTGTCAATATACTTAAATAGCAATGAAAATTTTAGTTTTAGTGACAAATATGTTTGTCGTTGTTTACTTATTTTTTTGTAGTGTGAGAGATGGTGGAGATGAAGTGAGAGGATTAAAGTTTGAGAAAGGGAGCAAAATGAATGAAGAAAAATGGAAAAAATTACTCGTTCTCATAATTTAAACAAGGGCCCGTTTTTTTTTTTTTCTCCTGTCACTTTGATCCATACGAGAGAATAAATTTAATCAAACTTAACTAACTTCAATTTTCTTATTTTCCTTAATCTAAAACACGTTTCACCCACGCATCACATAATAAAAATAATTAAGAATAAAATGAAAACACACTCACAAACATACATATACATATAAATAATATAAAGAAGAAAATTCTGGGTGTTACCCTCTAAATAGTTTCACGGTAAGTTGATCATAACCAGATGGGGATTGACTATTTAACCAGATGCTGTGGCTCTGCTGGTGGCCACTAATCATATTCAGATGCCATGGATCCACATAAACTTTGTCCACCAAGGCTCCTGGCTGCGCAGCCACCACAAACCCAAATTTAAACGTCGTTTTAGTATAGTTTGCGCGATCATGCAAGCTGGTTAACATAAACACAGTCTCCAAATGGTTTCACGGTAAGATGATCGTGACCAGAGAGTTATCTCCCCACCCCTCTGTAATAGGTCTAATGCATAGTACTTGACATATCAATCCAAACAAAGAGCCGAATAAGGCTCAACATGTTCACTGTAATAGTTTGTTCTCATTGTCTCAAATACGTCAATCCTTGAAAACCATGCGTGCTAGTGTCATACTCTTATTTAGCAGCCTGCAGAAACAAAGTCCCAAACATATCCTGATAGCTGGATTTCTTTGCGATACTTACTACTCAGTTTGGAAAAGCAGCAATGGCCCATCCTTAAGGTCCTTTCACTTTCACTACAAAGCAAAAGGACATGACCTTATCACGAAGAAGGGCACCGTAAAAGTCCCAATCTCAATTCTGTTTTCATTTGTTTGAAGTAGGGTCGTAAAACCAATAGAAGGACACACAACCCTCCGGGATTTTGGGTGAAAGACAGCCACAGAGCTTGTCGTTTTCTCCGAAACGTCTCCAACATGAGTCCAACACACGTGTGCCTGGTTTTATAGCCATTAAAAAGCTGACAAATGCCAACCACATTACACTATATTTGGGTTGCGATGTATGTACATCCTATTCTTCTTTACACATTGATGGGCACCCCCTAACTTCTGCGTTCAATCAACGTGTGAGCAGCAGAACTTTAATACAATGTCTAAAAAATCCCCGTTATATATTCTGCCAAGTGTGCAAAAAAGAGCAATTTTTCAAATGACAACAGAGGAAGGGAAATGGCCTTTCTGCTTGCTAGGATGCATGCAGCTTGTACAGCAATGTGCCTGCAACCTTATAAGACGGAACCCTGTTAATATTTATATATATTAACACTGCATTATACTATAACTTCAAATGTTCTGAATGCAATGGGCTAGAATTTGTTGGTTAATTGCAGCTTTCATAATCTAACATCATGCATGTCATGCGGCATTTCATCACATGATATGTCAGTATTTAATATTTTAAAGTCACCATGGATATTAAGCATAAAAAGAAAAAAAAAAAAACAAAATTTAGTGATTAAAATAGAAGAATTTATTGATTGGACACTGAAAAAAAAATTGACCGCCAAAATTACAGTTTCGCTCTCTCTTGTAATAACATCTTGCAATTATTTTGCTATATATAATACTGATATACATAATGAATTCTAATTTAATTTACTATTCATAAAGAAAAAGGACCAAACTCTATCTCTAACGAAGATATATATGTTTTTTTTTAATAATTGAAGTGATGACTTATCAAACTTACAATGTGGGATATGATTTAAATAAGAATAAGTTATACTTTCAAAAAAATTAACTGTGAACTTCAAGAGAATCAATCAATCCAATTATTATGTGTAAAATAATTAAGCTATATTAATTCTTAAAAATTGACTTTTCAACTTCTTGAATAATGAATAAAATGATTTAATTTCTCTAATTGTAGGATGACAATGGTTAAAATATTAATGTTTTGTTCAAAATGCATAAGTAAATAATAGTATGATGACAATTTACTTGATTAAGATTTTGTCAAAGAAGATAAAATTAGCAGAAGATCTATTTTCCCTTATAATTGAATAATTTGTAGAGTGTATATGTTTCGTTTTTTTAGATTTAATCTTAATTGGACCTTCTATATATTTAGACTAAATGACATAGTGTTAAATTTATCTAGACAACTAAATGGGTTTAGAATTTACCTTTAGTTATGAGATATCAGTATATATTTATGAATAATTTATAATCTCTCTTGAAGTATCATGCAATTATAATGATCACTAAAAAAATAACATTGTCTAAATATGAGCAAACTGGTAATGATAAAATTTCGAATAAACCATTACCAAACAAACCAGATGCCTTTCTCTTTTGATCAATATTGATAAAAAAAATTGCCAATCGCATGAGCTCGAATGACTTTCTTTCTGTGACTGCTAGAATATGCATAAATTTTATCCAATATCTCAGTCAATCAAATATAATTAATTCAATTGCGATAAAAAAAACATATAAGACTTTAAAAAAAAAAGCACCAAAAGACAAATGAATCAACCATTAACCCCAATTATTCATCACCCAATAAATTTTAAAAAGTATAATTAATTCAACTTTGATAAAAAATAAAATAAAAAAAATCATGCAATACTTTAGAAAAAAAGCACCAAAAGACAAATGAATCAACCATTAACACCAAGTATTCATCACCCAATAAATTTTTAAAAAGTAATTTTTGAATAATAGAGAGTACTAAAAAATTATTTTTGGTAATTAAAAAACACCATAAGTATGATATGATAAATACTCGCTGGTAATGCAACTAATTGAAAAATGTTGGACTAATTTTGTGATCTTGAGGCTATAATTTTATTGAGAAAATTGCAATTTTGGTATCCAATCTTTGGGTTTTTTCTATTTCATTGTTCAACTGAAAAATTCTTTTAATTATTTCAATGTTTAAGTTTTGATTTTGATTTTTTTTTTTTTTTAGTGCCTATAGTCACTATAGTCACTTGATAATACGAAATGCTGACGTATCTAAGATGAACTATCACATGACATTTTTTAAATTGTCACATGGCAGTTCATCTTAGATATGTTAACATTTCATAATAGGTGAGTACTAAAAAAAAAAAAAAATCTAAACTCCAGCATTAAAATAAAAAAATTTATCAATTGGGTATTAAAAAAAATAAAAATTAGACAGTAAAATTGTAGCTTTCTCTTGAAAAAATAACAATAATTGAAGAAAAAAAGACCCAATCATAATGCGTTTGATTCTTTCTATTCATTGTCCAAAAAATATAAACTAATCAATCCATTATTTTTCAAAAACTTTCTAGTTGTTGTTTGGCTATAAAAAATGGAATTGTGGAAATAAGAATGAAAATTTTATTCTCACATTGATGTTGTTTAGTTAAAAAAAAATTGAAGTGAGAATGAGAATAAAAAATAAAAATGAAAATGAAAAGTAAACATAATTTCATTCTCATGTGAGAGGTGAAAATAAAAATAATGAATGTGAATGTTTTTTTTTCAAGATAATGATATATTATTTTTTTATTGTATATTAACTACTTTTACCTCTACTGCCACTATCATCATTTCCATGGGTGGTGGTGAAAAAAAAATTATTATTATGCTATTAGTCCTTTTGAACTACCACCATCACTTTAACAAGATAAATAAATAAAAAATTATCGATTGAGTATTAAAACGGAAAAAAATTAAAAATTAGACAATAAAATTGGAGCTTTCTCTTGAAAAAATACAATAATTGAAGAAAAAAAGACCCAATCATATTGCGTTTGATTCCTTTTATTCATGCTTCAAAAAATATAAACTAATCAATCCATTATTTTTCAAAAACTTTCTAGGTGCTATTTGGTTATAAAAAATGAAGTTATAGAAATATGAATGAAAATTTTATTCTCACATTGATATTGTTTAGTTGAAAAAAATGAACTGAGAATGAGAATATAAAGTGAAAATCAGAATGAAAAGCAAATACAATTTCATTCTCATGAGAGAGGTGAAAATAAACAATGAACAAAAATATTTTTTTTGAAAATAATAATTTTTTTATTATATATTAATTACTTTTACCATGGCAACGTACAACTTCCATTGGTGGTGGTGATTAAAAAAAAAAACTATTACTATTCTCTTATCTCTCTTCTTTAACTACCACTGTTACTTTAATTAAATCAACATTACTATCACCATTAACGATGATGATAAAAAAATATATATTATTAATATTCATTTATTCTATCACTACTTCTTTTTTTTTTTTTTTTATCATCACTACCACTTTTATTATATTATCACCATCACTTTTCTTTTATTGTCAACTCATATGTTGATCCATTAATTGTACTAATTTTTTTAAAATATATTATATTATTATTATTATTATGTTATTATTACCATCTCCTCTCCATTATCTTCCTACTCGGTGATCACAATCACTATCACAAACACCTATACAATTTTTACTACTATTAGATTTAATAAAATTAATAATAATTATTATTCTTATTCGTATTAAAAACTAAATATAAAAAACTTTCAATTTTATTTTAATTTTTTATTATTATTCAAAATACAATATAGAAATATAAATATCATTCTAATTACCTAATTTTTTTATTTTTAATAATATCTTCAAAAAAAAATTTAATTAATTTTTCTAAAGAATAAATATTGATAGCTATTGTCACCTAACATAAAATTTCTCCCTAGTTACTCAATTAGTGCCATAAAATTTCTCCAACCAATATGGGGAGACATCTCAGGTTGTAATAACGCGTGACAAACGACAAGTCGTCCTCGAGGCTTTGGTTTTGTTTGTTGTCTTCTCCGGTCCTGCATCCACCATTGCTAGTCGTATTGTAATAATTCTTTCTTTCGGTGCAGATAACACCAACATATCCAAATCCTATATCCACCATAACCACCACAAGTGATAGCCCTACCAACAATCGTTGCAAACACAGTCAGTCGCAACAGCAGCTCTAACCACGCTACCTTCAGACCTTGTAAACACCACCCATATGCACCGCTTCCATTGTTTTTCTTCTACATAACCCAAATCTATCAATTAATAAAATCCTTGACAAACCCATGACCCCAGCAGCTAACGCCATCCTCCCACCATCCTTGAACCTCAATGACGAGAAAGAAAAAAGCGGATCCGATGACAGTAGTAAACATATAGAAAGAGAGAGGGCAGCGTAATGATGTAGAGGGGAAGTGAGATAAATGCGCCGGTGATAGTGGTCAAGGATTAGAAAGAGGAGGCGGTGATGAGAATTTTTTATTCTAGGGTTTCGATTGACTTCTTTTTTCTTTGATTGATTGTGTCAGATTGGTTTTTATCTGAGAGGAGAGAAAAAGTTGTAAAATCATTTTATACCTAAAAAATTAATCCTACTTGCTTTTCCTTTTTGTTTTTAATTTTATTTTTGTAATTTTTTATTTCGTTTTTTTCCCCACTTGTCAATATCACATTACTTGTCATTAGACATTATTACATAATATTGTCTGTCACTTATTAATAAAAAATTAAACGGAAGTTCACTTGTTATTAAAAAATTAAACAGAATTTCATTAGAAAAATCACGTTACAAAATGTTTAAATATAAAGACTTGATAAATAAATAAATAAAATAAAAAAGCTATATTTGAAAAATATCAAAAGTAAAATGACTATTTATGCTATGAAACTAAACTTTCCATTTTACATTTTTTCCACATCCTTTTGTTGTTGGGAGAAAATTTTGGTCCAAACAAGATAGATGAGAAAAAAAGAGGGAAAGAAGAAATGCAAGTGGAGCCACATTGCAGTATCATGAATGGAGAGGGAGGAGAGGATGAGGAGAGTGTCTAACCCTCCCTGCTGGGGTAGAGCTAGTGGTGGTTAAGGCCACATGTTTCCCATAAATGCAAGAGACAAAGCCAAAAGGCCTTTTCTTATACAGACTTCTCCACGTTGTTTGTACAGTTTTATTTGTCTCCTTGGGTTGCTCTCAGTGTCCCCCTTCCATGTCCATGGTTCATGGATCTCCGCCTAACTTCCAGTACTCGTGGCCGCATGTTGGCCTTTGCCTGCATCGCTATAGAAAAAGTACTACAACATGCGTGGATATCAATCTGCTTTATTTCCTTGGTAAACAGCTAGTTAGATCTGTTCCGATTGTAGTAATCAATTTTGTTTCAACCATGACAGCTAAAGTTCGGCCAAGAAACTGGTCCCTAAGCCCTTGACTAAGGTAAAAGAAACAAAAATTTAAAGGTTTTCATAAAGAAAAAATTATTAATATAATAAAATAAAAGAGGCATGTGTTTTACAATTCATAAACTATTCACTTGGATATAAATCACTACTCACTGCCCATTTCACTGTTTACATAGAAACAAATCATTATTTTTTTTCACTAAAAAAAAAGAAACAAATCACTATTCTTTTATTATGGCATTTTTGTTCATTAGATGTCATTTTTGAAGTTTTATATTAGTTTGATGGTTTTTATTTATTGATATTTCGCAAAAAATTATTGGTTTTAAAGGTTTTTATTTATCATTATAATTTATATTTACATTTCAATTTATATTTTTAAAACATTTATGTTTAAGTGACGATATGTTATTTAATTTGCGTTTGGGTTCTCAATAATTGAGAGAGGAAATAATTGAGAAGAGAGAATGTTTTTTCCCAACCACAAAAGTTACTATCATTAGCATAGAGGTGTTTATATGGTTGGGAGATTTAGTTCATGGTTGTGGTGAGTTCTGTCTAGCTTGGCCTCTCCTACCTAGGGATGGCAATATATCCTGTCCCGATGGAGCTCAGTCCCACTCCACCCATTTTTTCCTTGATCAAAGCGAGGATTCTCCTTAATGACCGGGGAACGGGGCGGGGTTGGCGCTCCATGAACAGGGATGGGGCGGGGTTGGTATTTGCCCGCCCCATCCCATTTGTCTTGTTTTGTGATTTTTATCCTTAAAATTTAATTATACACTATATAAAATCTGTGACTAATGAATTTTAAGATTTATTTTCTCTATGAACAATTTTTTTTCTTTTTTTTTTTATATAGTTTGAAATTCGGTAATAGAATGGGATAAGATGAGATGAAAAAAAATTTGATAATTTTTTTTATCTCATTTGCCCCACCAGTGCCCTGTAGGGATTCTCGTCCTCGTTTGAGGCGAGGGTGGTATAACAAATTTTGCCCCATTCGAAGCATGGGTAGGAGATGGAGTAAAAATTTCAAGAGTGGGGTGGGGACGGGGATGGCGATCCCCGCCCTGCCCCATTGCCATCCCTGCTCCTACCAAGCCTAGATGTTGTCTAACTATCTTCCTAGCCCATACCCATTTTATTTTTATTGTTTTAGAATTATCAATTCCATTTTTTTAGAATCAAATTATTAAAATATTTTATAAATATAACACATATTGCTACCATACTTTTTAAATAAGATTAGATTATTTTGATATATATATATTTGTGTGATATGCTAAATTAAGGAACTAAAAACTAATTGGTTATTTTAAAAAATTTATATCATGCAACTTACGCATATATATTTGAAGTTAATTTTTTGTTCATATTATCATACTTTCAAATTTCTTGATGATGGTCAACCTATTGTACAATGATTTAATTATTTGACTATTATATAAAATTTTATTTTAGTGTATTGGGTTTTTAAAACGTTTTTTTGATTTTAAATTTAATGAAATTAAATGTTAAAAACACACACAAATATATTTTTTCTATCATCCACAATAACATATAAGTTAAACAAAACTTAATATAAATGATAAGTATCTGACAATTATTGTTTTTGCAGTAAAAAATATATAGAGATAATAAATTTTAAAAATAAATTACGAAGAAATTTTTTGGTCGATCTTTAACCTCTCTTACAATCCATGTGGCAAATTAAGAAAAGAAACTCATAAAGCTATGGACTCTGTAATATATGATTTATCGATCATTGGCTCCCCCCATTTTTTTTTAACTTTTCTTTATTTGTTTGTTTGTTTTATTTTGGATATTCTAAAATTATATTTTATTCAAATATAATGGTTAAATTAATAATTTTTAAAACACTCAATGATACAATATTTTTTAAATAAAATTAGATATTTTGTCTACTAATATTAGTGATTATTTAATGAATATTAATATATAAATCTTATATACACACACACACGTATTAGGTTTACATATTAATATTCATTAAATAATCACTAATTATCTTTTTTATTTTTCTCAAGCAATCCTATAAAGTCGATTAAAACGCACATACTTTTTTTCTTTTTCGTTGAAATTCTCTCTTCAAATTATAATAAATTTTTATTCAAAGATAAAATATAAAGACATATAAATCATGTTTGTAAGAAAGGAAATTCATATGGCAGGTGAAAATTAATCAAAATACAAAGTTTTGATGAAAAAATATAAAATTACATAGAATTTTTATTTGAATTATTGAGTTTATTTTCTTAATTTAATTCAATAAAAGGTTAAAAGAACACATAAATATTTTATTGATTACAAGTAAAATAAGACTTATTATTAATTATAACTATTTTTTAAGTAAAAGGATGTAGAGAAATAAATTTTCGAACACCTAATATTTGTTGATAAAAAGGTTCTATTGATTTTTCAACTCTCCTAAAATACATGTGATAAATTGAAAAAAAAATCTAATTGCTATATATATATATATATATATAGTTTGTCGATTTAATATGCAACTGATTTGTTATTTTAACATATTAATATTTGTAGAATTTAATTATAAATTATTTTATTTTAAAAATCTTAAATAATTTTTTATTAGGCTAGTGGTAGTGTGCAAGATGTGACATTAGTTTTTTTTTTAAAAAAAAAAAACTAAAAGAGGATGTACAAGATCTACCTTCTCACAGATCATTATTCATCAATACACGTGCACTATATTCACTATATTCACGATGGTTTTTTCTTTTTTTTCTTTTAGGTCTCTGTACTTTTCTATAGTGGTATTTTAGTACCCATACTGCAATTTCATCACATTTTAGTAAAGATGTAGAGAGAGGAGGGAGAAAATTCTAGTCATCTTTATTCTGGCCAACAAAACCACTGATTTTGATGTTAATAAATTCCTCTTCACGATGGACGTTTATTGATGGTGGTCGTGGTGCATACAATAGTAGGTAAAAGAATATTGGAGCCTGAAAATATAAATAGATCTTTGAAATAGATTCATTTTATTGAGTAATTTTGGTTAATTAAAATAAATTTTGAGGTTCGAGAATTTTTTGAAATGTTTTTAAGGCATTTTGGGGTGAAAATGGTGAAAAAATGGATTTTTGGAGACAAAGGCCGAGGACCCACAAATTTTTAGCGACCAAAAGAGTTGTCTGAGTAATTGCAGTGAATGACGCATCGTCTAAAAGCGAACAGCGCATCCTTCACGTGGTTCATTTTTATTTTATTTTGAAACGTTTGGGCCAAGCACAACTTGGTCCAGTTATTATTTTTTTAATATATTTTATATTTTATTTTATATTTTTTTATTCTTCATAATTAATTATTATTATTTTAAATAGTTGTGATTGAATTCAATATAAAAAACTTAAATTCATGTAATGAGCGGTCCATTTTTAAATTTATATATTACTCATTTATTGTTTATTTATTAGATATGAGATTTTTTTTTTAAATATTTCTCCTCACTTACAACCTAGCTTTTAGAGTTATCAAGTGGCTTGGGTTTTAGAATTTTTATTAGATCGTTAGATTTTTTTTTTTTTGAAATTCTAATGCCATATTAAATTTTATAATTAAGATTGAGTTTCATTAAAAAAAACTTAAATAAATCTCGCTAATCTATTGTTTATTTATTTGATGTAAGATATATTTTTTAACACTTTCCTTCACTTGTAATTTATTTTTTTGGTTTTTTCAATTAGCTTGTGTTCTAGGATATTTGCTTGGACCGTTAGACGTTTTTTAGACTTTGATATTATATTATGTTAAATAATAGAGATTGAATTTTATCAAAAAGACTTAAGCCTCAAAGTAAGTGGTTCTTAGCCTCATAGTAAATGGTTCTTTCTCAATTTTATATATTACTCATCAATTGTTTATTTGATCGATGTAGCAATATGTTCTCGAACACTCTTTTTTATTTATAATCTATCTTTTAAGATTTGTCAAATTACTTAGACTATAAGATCTTTGTTGGACTCTTGTATCTCTTTGAAATTCTAATACCATATTAAATTAAAAAGTTAAAATTAGATTCCATCTAAAAAATTTAAGTTTTGTAATGATGATCCTTTCTCAACTTTATAGATCAATCATCAATTTTTTATTTATTCAATGTGACATAGTTTCTCTAACAACTCAACCTCAATTATCTAACTTACTAATTATTACTTTAATACAACCCTAAATATTATTTTATTTATTTTTGGTGATATACATCTTTGTGATTATTTATAACTTTTGAAATATTTGTGATAATAAATATTGAAAAGGTGAATATAACACAAAAAAAAAAAAAACTATAAAGAAGTTTGCACTCAAAATAATACGACTGCAAATTTTTTATTTATAAATGAAATGTTTTTTCAAGAATTAAGACAATTAAATTTCATCTTAAAAGTTCAACAATTTTTTTTAAAAAAAATCGCAATATTTTAAAGTGAATATTAGGATAGAAAGAAATGTAATTAAAGCTTGCAATCTTTTTCTTTATTTTGACAAATCATATTGATTTTTTCAAAAAAAAAATAATAATAATAAAATTAATGCCTTAATAAATAGTATAATTATGGTTTCATATAAATTTTAGATCAGGTAAATAATATCGTGATAAATAAAGAAAAAAAATTAGAAATATCTAACTTAATTTTTTTTTAAAAAAATATCAACTCTAACCCCATAAAAAATAAATTTCAATACTTTTCACAATTTTTTTTATAATGGAAATTAAAGAGTTTTTCTCGTCAAAATGAGATGAGAACCATTTCCATGCTCAAGTTTTTTTTTTTTACTCAAATTTATCTTCATTAAGAATTAACATAATATTCAACTGAAATTAAAGCACAGAATCTAATCCAATATTTGCTAAGTGGGCGTCATAAATTAAAAAACACATGATACGAAGAGTTTTAATCTAATAATTTATGATTGAAGAGGTCTCTCTTTTTTTTTTTTTTCATTTTTCTCCTCTTAAATTTTTAAATCATTAAAATTTTTACAGTTACGTTTTCGTATTACCGCCAAAATTTAATAAAAATAGGTTTTGAAAGAGAACCCGCTGCCTATTTGCTTCAATTCATACCAAACTCATATATATATATGTATTTGAATGAATAAGAGCATCACCATTATGTTCCATTTACAAAGTCATGCTATACAAAGTGCTTAATTAAGGCACCGGTCATGAAGGAAACTTGTTAGTTTTTCCTCTTGATATTGACTGCAACTCCTTAATAGTGACTGCAGCGTCTTTTACGGGTTTTGGTCCTTCCACTTGACAAGTCTTGATCCTTAATTTCCCACAAGCTAGCAATTATCTTTCTACCGTACTAATTACTCCATGCACGATGTTAGATAATGACAGTGCTTGAAAGCGACAGTGCAAATGTGTATGGCGCTTTCCAAGCAGATCCTAGCCTCATCTGAATTTAATGGACGAAAGGCACCGTTTTCCTGTTCCACATGACAACTTCGAACCCCGGGTTAATGAGAACAAAAATATCATCTTCGCTTTCAACATGATATATCGCATATTCAGCCTGTATGGGCAGACTAGTCTATATAGTTATGGAAGTGATTATTTTCTATCATGGACTAATTCAATGATGATAACAACATTAGTGAAAAAATATCCTTAATTGTCGAAAAAGAAAGGTTGGTAGTTTGAATTTTGACAAGTAATTAAAGTCGTGATTGGCTAAATAGTCTAATTTAAAAACAAATTCAGCATACAGAGAAGGAAAAGGACAGGACAAAGTAGACTAGAAATCAAAATGTAGAGGATGCGAAGATGATCCCCAGAAACAAAGCTACATGCCAGAGTGTGGCAAAGACAATGAAAAGCTAGCTATTCATTAAGTTTCCGTTCTGAATGGCTCCCAAAAAGGAGTTTTTTTGCTGAAAAATCTTCCCACCACCCTGGAATCCAAAATCTTTAAGGCCTGCTCGGATTTGATGCATCTGGGCGTCTTGTACTGGTTAACTGAAGACCCTTCAGAAACACAAAAATCCATGAGTGCGTCAAACGTTCCATGCGTCACCACCCTTATTTCCAGGGGTCCAATTGATTTGTCTTTCTTCCTACACCTCCTATAAACAGAATCGAGCGATTCTTCAACAGTAGAGCAGCATTGCTCCATTATAACTGGATCAAGGTCTAGCAGATCATTAGTTCCTCTCACTTTAAATTCCCAAAATAGTACATAATGACCTGGGATTAAGGAAGTGTCAGCGAAGCTAGTGTACTCAGTTAGAAGGAAACCGAGTGGTTCAATGACGACTTTCGCTTGTGTCACTGCCTTTAAGAGGTCTTCTTCATTGGTCTTGTCAGTATCAACGCTTAAAACCACATTTCGCCGGTGCACAAAACGAAATTGAGGAGCATTGTTGTAGAAGCCGGCTACCATGAGAATGTCTCCAACTCTATATCTATACAATCCTGAGAAAACAATAAACAAAATAGTGAGAGACTGAGCTATGGACTAGGCATGATCTTTGTATCTGCAATCCATAATCAAAAGCATGTATAAAATTTGTTACTCCATTTATAGGATTAGTTGGGATTAATTATGAGTTGAAAATCAATGATACAGCAAGTAGATGAGCAAAATGAATATTCAGTATAGTACTATACTACTAATATAAAAAGGTCAGCATAAGGAAAACCTCACCTGCAAAAGTGGTGACAACTAGTTCATAGTAGTGGCCAAGCTTCACATCCACAAGATCAACAGCTTCAAACTTTTCCTTGTCATCCTCATTCTGTTTGCCATTCTGATCAGTAACGCCATTGCACTGCACATCCTGTATCACTTCTTTTTGGTCTTTATCAACGGGCAAGAATTCAAAATAGGCCATATTTGGAAGGAGGGTGTAAGATACATCAGAAGGGTTGCTTAGTGGTTTAAAGTTGATTCCCAAGTAACATTCAGAAGAGCCATACATTGTTGAAACTAAAGGGAGTCCACCGCTGTAGAATTCAAGGGTTGAGATGTATTGGGCCATAGAACCTGTAACAATGACTTCAATGTACTTCGTTCGCGGCCAAAGCTTCTTAATTATCCCTTCCCAAGGTTTGAACCTACATTCATCCTCGATTAAATCAGCCAATTCTAAATTGGGTTTGCTCAGAACTGACAATACAGCATTTCTGCAATTAATATCAGTAATCCAATCACTGACACTACCAGTTCTTATGTTGGAACATAATTCTTTCCAATATTCCTCCAAAAATTTGATAGCACGCAGGAAAGCTGATGCAAAGACTGCACCAACTCTTAAAACCTCTTCCCGCTGTACTAAACCACAAAGCAATTGACAGTACATGCTCTGCTTGCTATCAGGACATAAGATGATCTCATCAGGGCTTGTATAAACATTATAACGGTTGAAAGCCCGGTTTCTGAAGTTGCTGCTTTTGTAGTAGCTGGTTAGGACAGGTCTTGCCATCAAGCCAGAAGGGGTGCTAATTTCGGGTTTGATAAACAAAAGATACATTGCTTTTCCCTGGTCCAAGCCATCAACATACCTGAATAAGAAAAATGAAATTGTTCAAGTCTGCTCACCTTGCTTGCACTGTTCCATTATCTTAAAAGCAGTTGTAATTTTTTTTTTTTTTAAAAAAAGAATATGGAAAGCGTTATCTTACTTGTTCATTACAGGCACAAGGAGGTTATAAAAGAATGTCTTTCTTTCCAATTCTTCAGCAGTTGAAGGCATCATTTTTGGCTGTCCTCCAGAAGTACCCGAGCTGCATATAATACGAATTTAGTTTGATCAATTTCTCAGAAAGAAAGAATTTTTGTTTTCTATGAGAAAGATCAACCTGATCAAGACTTTCAGGGGAACTTAGTGAAGAAATATGAGAAGATAATCGATAAATTTTTATACCTTGTGAGGAGCTCAGTTATTGGTTGAGCTGAAATGATAGATGAAGGCTCCCCATTGGCAATTCGGTCGATGCAAGGCTTGATATCTTCATAATTCACAATGGGAACTTTATTCTTGAAGTTTTCCTTACGAGAATCACCATTGAGAAAGCTTTTAAGATACTCTGTCTCTAAATTTTTGGTCAGTATATCCTCCAATACCTGTTGTTGTATTTGGCATGCATTGTTGGTCAGGTCCTCCAAGAGCTTCAAGCCAGCTTCATTATCATTTGGATCAAAGATTGGCAACATTTTTTTGCAATAATGGAAAGCTAGAATAAAATGTAAGTTTTTATCAAGAGTTTTTTCTAGTCTTAAAATGTCATATGACTCTTTGACTAAATGGTAACCAGATAAAGCTGTTAGAAGTCTATGCTCTCTTCCTGTTCAACTGGATTAAAAAAAAAAACGCTTGGCAGCTAAAGGCAAGAGCAAAGAGAATGGTTAGGACAAAACAGGAAGAGAACAACTTAATGGGAATTAATGCTTATCACACTTAAAAGACTGGAATGTGTTTCTGGGTAGCTGAGAGGTGGAGAGGACGAATAAACAACAGATTCTGAAGGGATTTTGGGAAATGATGTACATTCAAAATTTCTAAAAGATAAAAAAGGAGGAGATGCAAGGGAAGTAGAGACTATGGAGGCCCTACACACGTGGCTTTGTCTGGTAACCTGTGCTTAGATGTAGCTCTTATTGGTCAAACTGCCTATACAAGCTACAAGTATATTTTTTTATTTTCTAAATTAGCCTATTACGCAATTTAATAAGAATAAGCTTCTTGTAGAATTTCAAGCCCAATCACTGGCTTTGTATTCATGCTTAAGATAAGCTTGGTCAGCAATTAAGTATCCAATCATTAATGCCAATGTTGCCCAGAGTCTCCCTCTCATCTGATGGTATACAATAAGATTAGGCAGATGGAATGAGGCAAATATAATGATTAACAATACTAATAAAGTCGTGCCTTAAATCTTAGTCAGCCATGGGAGAATAGGACAACGTTAATTGTGGCCAATTGGCAATCATGGAGAAGCTTGCTTTACAGCTCTTTTGTGGTGCAAAAATCCTAACAGGGAAACAAACACCATTTTTAGAGGGGAGGGACCTCTATACGTATTTCTATTGTAGAATTAGTCCATGATGTTAGTACAGATTTTAGGTAGCACCACACATGGAAATTTGCATGAAAACACAATGGATTACACACCGCATGACTCTCTTATTAAGCATTTGCTTGTCACAATTTTGGCTAAACGTCGGATTAGAAAACAGGGAGGGGTCTGCTTGGCGGACGCTTCCATTAATCTTAAGCAGAAGAGTGTTGCAATGGGACATGGAAGCAAGCATCCAGAACCAAGCATGTTGCTGAGACCCACATTATAGACTTTTGAGCCTCTAGGAAGACGAAAATCTTGTAAAGCTAATGACTTTTCGTTCCTCATAATTGTTTAGACTCTCATATCAATCTCTCATGCTTAATCTAAAACTAGAAGCTGGTATCTTCAATTTGTTAACCAAAGAGAATGGCTTTCAAAAAGAAGCACATGTATATAATTTAGTAAAAGGCCTTGCCTTGAAGAGCTGTTGCCATCTATCATTCAACCCTCGCATATATAATGGTAAAATCCTTCTTGGGATGGTGAGCCTTAAATGAAGCGTATGGCCATTCCTATTCTTACCTGCTAACTTAGAGGGGAAAAAAAGTGTGCTTATATAAACCGCAATACTATTTTAAGTTGATTTTAGCAAGTTTTCAGGTCACTATGCGGGCATCAACATGGCATAATCAGAAAAAATTTCAGTCGTGGAATTACTAAGCGTTTTTGCACAATACAATACGGATATGTTTTTGCTGAGACATGTCATCCATATATATAGCTTCATTACTGACATTGAACAAGCAAACTCTGGCACGTCCTTTTGGATAATTTTTTTTCTTTCTTTTTTCCAAAGGCTTTTGCTCAGATTGTATATGAATTAATATATCAATAAGAATAAATTTGGAACCTCATGCATCATTTAATTGGGTGGATGAATTGAATTTAAATATATGTATATATTTTGTCCAATTTATGTCTCTGTTTTGAACAAAAATGAATTGAATGTTGATTCCAGATAATTTCATACAAAAAATCAGATCTATTCATCAAAGATAACATAGAAAATTCAATTCAATTTAATTAAACAGTACTAGTATATGTTATTCAATAAATTGCAGATATTTTTTTAAAAAAAAAAATGGAAGAAGAAGAAGAAGAAGAAGAAAATAAGAATGTGACTAGGGTTTGTAACAGCAGTGAATCATGAGTCTTTTCAAGGACCCTACTCTGATATTAACAAAATTATGATTGGAGACCGACCAATGGAACCAAAATGTTATCGGGATCCAAACTTGGAGCCTTGCATTCGAGCGATGTTGGATTTGATGGTAAATTTTGGGGCTACAAGTCAAGAAAGTCCTACTTGCACTATCTGAACCCTCCGTGACATTTTTAAGGATTTGAGGACGAGCAAAGAAAAGACCAGTACTACTATTACTGCCAGTATTTTAAGATAATTAGTTCAAACATATTTTTTATATTTTAGGTTTAGTTTCAATATGTCCTTATAAATTTACTTGTTTTCAATTTATTTTCATATTTTAACCTATCTTTTCAATAAATATTTTCATGCAAACTAATAAAAATGACAAAAATATCTTCATATGAAAAATTCAAATCCCAATATAATTTATTAAAAAAATAAAAATTGTCATAATGTTAAAAAAATTCATGTTTATTTTTTTTATAAATAAATTATGTTAGATTTAAATTTATTATATAAGGATATTTTCGTTAGTTCACACGAAAATATCTACTAAACAATAGATCGAAGAATAACCTTAAATATAAAATAAATTTAAAGCAATTAAATTTATAAAAATAGCTTGAAGACTGTACCTAAAATGTAAGAATAAGTTAAATTAATTTTCTATTGTTTCAAGTAAAATCAAGCTATCCCACAAAACCATGCTCTACAGCTATATGTGACTCATCTTTCCTGGCTTCACTACTCACCTCTCAAGATTATGATTTATAGCCGAAGTCCCTTCTCGTTCTTTTATGGAGAAGCCTATATACGGTGTAAACTGACAAATAAATATGCTGTTTGCAAGAATATTCATAATAAATAAATAAATAAAAATAAAAAGGTGTTCCGTCACATGTTCACAGAGTTAATCATAAATTAGCCTTTTAATTTTTTAAAACAGATTAAATAATCTCTGTAATTTTAAAAATTAATTAACTAGTCTTTATATTTTTAAATCTATGTGTAACTTAATCATTTTCATTTTTTTAAATTTATTTTGTTTTAAGAAATAGAAAAAATAAGTAAAAAATATATAAAGATGGATGAAAAAGATTTTTTTTAAAAGTAATATTTCAATATTGGTTAAAAATTGCTTAATTAATTTTTGAAATAAAAAATATTATTTAATTCATTTGATAAAATTAAAGAGACTAGTTTATAACTTGCTCAATGTTCATATTAGAGCACAAGGTTACAAGCATTTGTTTGCTTGTGTGATGTGTAAAGAGTGAAATCCCAGTGCGATTCTTACAAGAAATATAACTCAACTGGATGCTATGACGTGAATTTGTGAATCCTAAAAGGCTATAACGTGTGATTTGGTTATCATAAATGAAAAAAGTGAAATGAGAATGTAATGATTGAAATAAAAATTAAAAAATTAAAATGATATTTTTATTTTTATTTTAAAATAATATTAAAAAATAAAAATAAAAATTAATTTTTTTAATATCTAATTTTAAATACAAATAAAAATAGTAATTAAAAAAATAATTTTATCAATTATAATGATAATAAAAATAATAACGACTAAAGTGATTATTGTGATGATGGTTAATACACAATAAATAAAAATAATATATTATTATTTAAAAAATTTATTCTCATTTTTAGTTTTTATTTTTAATTATTACATGAGAATAAATTTATATGTAATTTTTATTTTAATTTCTACTCTTTATTTTTATTTTTATTTTATTTTATAATCATATAATTATAAAATAAAAATAAAAATTTTATTCTCAAATTCACCCTCCTGACCAATCAGCAGCTAAGAGCAACAAAAAATGGGTGCCAGAAGGGACAATTTATTTATTTCTCTTGGCCTTGGAAGTCCAAGGCTTGAACAAGAACTGAATTCTTCGTCTGGCGTGTAAAAGCCCACGTCTGCTCCTCGAATTGGCCCTATTATATTGCAACACAGCATCAAAATGCTGTGATCACCAATTCTCTCGCATTGCCTGACATGACAAAACAAGTCCAGCGATGTAATTCCATTCGGACACATTATTGAAAAGTTGAAGCATGAAATTTCTTGTGCGTTCGCTAGCTAGCTTAGTAAAAAAAATTTCACTAACCAAGGATCATGTATAGGTTGAGAATATACCCATACGACATTAATTGGATCCAATGTGGACCTTTAATTTGTGGTGAAGCCAACCAAAATATATATATATATATATATATATATATATATATATATATATATATATATTCTTGTAAACGGAAAAGTGAAAACTCCTTATTCTGACTTGCTGCCAAAGGCTTGAGATCTTTTCCCTAAATGCATTTTGTAGAACTGAATGTTACTCGATATTGCTTGTAACCTTCTTGGATAGGGATAGTTCAAAACGTACAAGAGCAATTAATGAGGTAATGTTACCTAAAAAAATTAGGCAGTCATCTAGGCACCGATCGCTATTAAAATCTGTGAAACGATGTTCGATAAGATCATTGAATTAGAGAAGAGAAATAGTACATTAATCCTTAATCAAAGATATTAGGACATGTATATCGGGATTTGCTAGATTTGGTTTCAAAGCTTTCATGTTCAAAGGAATAAAACAATTAGGCGTCTTCTGGAGGGGACAGAATACCCTTGAAATGGGCAGATGAAGAGGAGAAAACAAGGGCAGGAAGGTTGAGTTTCTTTACTTCGCCTCTTTATTAGAAATAACTATCATTGTTGACTAGCTAGCAAAACAATTACAATCTGGGTTCTGTAGAGCAACCACGAGTTTTGAGATAAGGATTAGACACAGGCTTACAAATTTCTTGGTAATAAATGCCTAAACTCAATAGCTGATCGGAAGAAACAATTAGAAAGAAGAATGATTATAAACAAAAGAAATCATACTAAAAATTGTCAAATAATAAATTACAAATTGTGGATCCCAAAAATAATGAATAACTGGTCAAGTATGAAAAAAGTTTAATTTCCACGTCAAATTGTATGAAAATTATGTAGGATTTGTTTGTTTGTACAAGCCAAATTAACCTAATTTCCAAACCATCAAAAGCTTAGATAGTTGGAACAGTTTAAAGAAGGTTTATTACTTGAGAATCACCTAAATTTCATAATTAATGTTAGTGAAACACAATTTGAATATTGATCCGCCAAGTTATTGGCATCGGATCATTGGTTCAACAAATGGAGCATTGTACTATAATATATGTGTATTTGGCTATACAAGATACGAAAAATAAGAAGGGATTTTCCTCATATATAGATTTTATTTTTTTTATGGAAATCATTTATTTTTTTTTCAATTGAAACTTTTTATTTTTCAAAATTTGTTGTTTGAAATTCTTTGTTATAATATTATCAATAAATGATCGACATGTAGTTGAGATTTCTTATTTTATAATAACAAATATCGAACACTTACTAATAATTTTATAACATAAGATTTAAAGAAAAAAATTAAAAATTAAAATCTTAATGAAGCCAAAAAAAATAAAATAAAAGAAAATAAAATAATACAGAGTCCAAGTATCAAATAAATTCAAATAAGAAATGATGAAGTCATATATCAATGCATAAATTCGTAAGATAGAAATGCTAAATTCAAGTCTCAAAAGCTATATTTTTCCATCTGATCTCTCTCTCTCTCTCTCTCTATATATATATAGCATCAATTCGGTTCGCATCAATTCGGTTCCCTTGGATGGTCCATCACAGGTTCTTGGTCGGTCATAACATAGAAAGCAACAAAAAGATATTTGTCAACGTCTAATCCATGATTAGGGAAGGTTGCACTTGAATGATTCATTACATGCACGCTTTCCTGGAAAGAACCTGTCCACCAGTAGAAGAATTCTTCAAATCTCGAAAATATCAGGAAAAAAAAACTGCTGTAGAAACTGGACCTCATATAATCCAATCAGAGGCAGCTTTCATGCCACTGTTAATATACATATCCAGGAACGATCTCTTTTGAGGCTCTCAAGTGTCAAGATTTCTAGTTGCCTCTTCTCGTAACTAAGGTCACTAGCTGAAAAAATAACGGTACTGGTGCAAAACAAGGCGTTGATTCATGAAATTATAAACCATATTAATTATCAGTCAAAGTAATCAAAAGGCAAATATTTA